AAATGGGTGATTTTGCACCAAATATGGCAACCCTGTCTTCCCTTGCATTGTCTGGCAATTGTAAACCTGCCTTGCGGGGAAGCTATCTTACTGCGGTTTAGTGTTTCTTAACAGTAATAATGACAAGTATGTTTTCTTTCCATAACATTAGTTTTGATTTCCCATGCATTTGAAAAACAGCTCAAAATCAAACAACTAGGTTGAAGTTCACCTGCTAGGCAAATGGAATATGTGTTTGATATAGCATTTATGTAGCCTGGCATGAACAACTAGATTTATTAGCAATAAGTTATGTATGCCAGAATTATTGTAACGATTCAAGAGGTGCTTTCCAGAATTTTCAATGATGCACAGTCTACTGATTACTAAAGAATTCTGGAAGATTCTGTTGGATGTTGCATTGAAATACTGTAACAGTCAAGGCTGTCATGAGAGATATTGATTATTCAAAATATTACCACTGAAATTACAATTGTATATTTTTTTTTAATTCTTCTATACTGGGCATCAGTAAAAGTAATTATTCCAAAGTTTTGGGCAAAAATGTTTAACTGTTTCTTAGGTTGGGATTCGAATGATCTCAGTTTGTTAGTCCGTATATTAATTGTCTAAACAAGTTAATAGCTTATTTTTAAATAAATAGTCTTTCTCAAGTAACAGTTTCTCTGCAGTGCGCGCTGACGTGTATCCTTTAATTTATCCTTTCTAAAAGGACTGCTCATGAGTTTAAAAAAACACTCAATTTTCTTTTAAACAATGATTTATAATTTACTCAAATAACATTTTTTATTTAATTTGTGCTCCAATGATTATGTTTCCGATTAATTTTATTTTTACTAAAATAAAACAACAATAATTATAAACAGACAAGTATACAGGAAATCGGAAAAAAATAGTTGGTTTTTCTACCTGAAGAAAAAATGCTTAGTTGCCTATTACAGGAGTTATAAATTTTTATTTTCTTGGGACTTGACATATAAACACAAAGCAGTAGATGTAAGATGTATTTATTCATTTTTATATGTAATCATGTTAATCACATATTCATTAATTTACTTCAAAAGTTTATATTCAAAATTTGTCTTATTATTTTTAAAACGATATAAATTTGGACATGCGGCTCTCGAACGTTCATAAAATCAATCATGCAGCTCCCTCGTCCTGAAGTCTGGCCATACTTTGTATATGACAATGCAAGAAATATTTTGTAAATTTTCAAAATGCTATTTGATAACCCCAAATTATCGATTATGCTCTGGACAAAATTATAAGACAACAAATTAATAGTTAAAAGAAGCAAAAGCTGTGTACTTTTTCCAGAGCATGCTAATTTAATATATATGGTTAAATGTAAATAAATAAAATTTAATGTTTTTAAACTCTGGCCAGTAATGCAGGGAATTTTGAAAATTTGAATTATTTTAATCCCTATGCTTTGTAACTAATAGTTGAGTGGACCAATGAATTTTGCTAATTATTGGTCATGTCTTTCTGAGCTTTGTTCACATTTTCCTCTTTCTAATTTTTACACCAGATGGTAGAGTGGTTAGGGGAGCCGATTGCAATACCAAAGGGTCCAGGTTCGAATCCCGGAGAAGGCATGGATGTAAATTGTCTGTTTCCTCATAGAAGGTAATGGTGGCCACCTATTAGGTGCTTCCAGAATAAAATGGCGTTAGGATTGGTCAATGTTGGAAAGGCAAGTGCCCGTCGTAATGAAAATAAAAATTACACTATGGATTATTGCAGATAAAAAAATAAAGTGAACTCGTATATTAAGAATTCTTAAATAAATGCAGTTATGTTATAAATGACTACTTTTGTATTTTTGGAATGGCATTTCTATTGTTTCCTATACAGGTTCTGGTGGTTCAGTGATCATATCTTCTTGTTATGTCAAATTTTCAAATCAATCCACAGTCAATAATAACAAAATTAATTTAATTAATAATTCGCATATCACAGCGTAAAGATCTCGTACTTCTCTCTTTTGCCAAATCTAAAATCAGTCTAAGTCTATGTGAACACACACATAGTGCCTCCTTGTTGTCAACGGGCCTATTTAATTTCCCTTAACTCTCATGGAGTTTACATTTCATCTTCAAATATTCAGCTAATAAATTTTAAATTCAGTAAAATTATACTAGACTAAATATTAAATCATTAAAATGTATAAAATAAGAATGATTCAAGCTTATTTAGTCACAGTCCGCAAATGACAATGAAACTATTGGCTCTGACTCCAAATTAATCTTTATTTTTACAACTCTGTTTCATCAAATAACGTCAATCCAAGTTTTAAATCAAAATAATCTTTATTTTAGTTTTTAGCAAAATGTAAGCAACTCTTTAGAACAATATCATTAATATCTTTTTTGTTGCCATTCCAAGAACAACAAAAATTGAATAATCTTTTTGTTGCCATTCTGAAAACAACAAAAATTGAATAATCTTTCTGTTGCCATTCTGTAAACAACAACAACCACAACAACAACAAACAAAAAAAGTAAATAAAACGATATTAATCAGTATTTAAAGTTTCTATATAAGTTCAAGCCACAACAGTTACTCCCTTCCCAGTAAGTAAGTTACGGTAGAGCATAATATTACCTTTAAAACGCACTATTTACAAAAAAAAAAAAAAAAAAAAAAAAAAAAAAAAAAAAATTTCTTTTTAATAAATGCCTTATTTGTCATTTTTCAGTACAGTAATGAAAATAATAATCAGTCATCTAGGCTAACTATGTAATATATTCTCCAAAATATTGATTATTGTTATTTAGTTTTTATTCTTTAAATAATTACCGTAATTTCGCGCGTATAGTCCGCGGACTATCTGTGTTTAAAATGTGAATTTTTGAAGCTGCGGACTATCCACCAGTGCGGATAATACGCTGGTTGTTCACGGTTAAAATCGTTGAAATTTAAAAAAAACACGCTGTCATGAACTGCCGATGATCAAATATATTGTAAAGCGCGAGTTCCAAGAAAACTTTCGTATGTATAGTATCGATAGTAAACCATAGAGCATAGTGCAGAACGAATGAGTAGTAGCAAGTAGAGCTCCTAAAATCCAGGCTGGACGCATCAAGCGATGCCGGGATATGAGCCAAAGAAAGTCTTGTGTGAGCACTCACTTAGCGCAACCAGAGTCTTGTATCCCAGTATCCTTCGCACTGCTTTAGCGCAACTGACTGCCAGGGGAGGGGGGAAAAGTAGTTGATGCGTCAAGCTCGGCGTTTTTATGCGTTTTAGAAGCCTTAGTAGCAAGTACCTGGAGTGTACGGAAAAAAAAGCGTGATTCGTTTACTTATAGCGTGGTTTGGCAACACCGAGTGAGTGGGGTCGAAGGTCACATTTCATTACCACTTATCACGAGTATAGCACATTGCACAGTATTTTGTTTTCATATTTTGTCTTTCATCTTCGATAACGTTGATGAAAACATCGCCGGAAGTTTTTTACTGCTGAGTTTAAACTCAAGGTAGTTGAGAAAGCTGAATAAGATGAAATAGAGAAGCGGGCCGTTATTGGTTTAATATTAGTATTCGGTGCACACGGGATTTGGCTACTTTTGGCGACTTTATGATAGTAAGCTGTAAAAACGGGACATATACGATGAGTAGTTAAGAGGTCATTCAAAGAATATATATCGTTAAACATAGTATATACCATGTATATAGTGATACTATATAGTGTATAGTATATACATAGACTATGTATAGGTGTTCTTTGGATCATTTTTGGTGTTGGCGATAATTTTCAAAGTCGCACCAAGGCTCCACCGTATACTAGGATTTTACCCCGTTATTTTGAAGTGGACAAGAAAGCGGTGAGAAATTGGCGCAAACAAAAGGATGTGTTTAAAAGGCATGGGAATATTGCCGTATTAAAAAAACGTAATTTCGGACGTATAGTCCGCGGACTATCCGGTGGTGCGGACTATCTGACGATTTTTGAAATTTTTTTTAATATAAAATCGTGTCTGCGGACTATACGATGGTGCGGACTATACGTGCGAAATTACGGTAACTGTATTTTAATGTTATTCATATAATTAAATGTGGCTTCTTCCTTCTAAATTTATTTATTATCAGTTAATAATACTTTCAAATCTCAGGCAATTTTCTCTGCCATACTTCTAAAACTAATTCTAGCAGTATGATGACATACCACATCACAAAATTTAATGCACATATTTTTTGCGTATGTATGCTGCTAAATAAATTATTTAAAAATATCATTAAACAGATTTCTTTCTTTCGTGTAGCTGCAGAATATCTGCTAAAAAAGACATTTCTTAGTACAGATTGGGCAGATTCAAGTCTTAATCTTCAGTGGAGAAAACAACTCGTATTATATTTATAACAGTAATTTGGGGATAAGTCATGTAATTGGTAAATTTTTGTGTGTTCAAGCGGTACCATAATTAATTTACCTGTCAGCACAGACAACATGCACTACGTAGGTAGACTGGAGTTTTCTTAAAACACACCTAGTAAACCTGGAAAAGGTCAGGGAATTTCATTCTCCAGTTTGAATGGCAATCCTGATATTATGTCTTAAACATTTTATAGTATGCATATTGAATCCTGTGGTATAATAATGTGCAGATAACAAATTTGTTGAAAACCACTGGACTGTATGTGTTTACTGTACTTGGAAACAAAGAACTTTTAATGAGAAATTAGTTCCTTCATTTGAGCAAGATGTTGGATGTTCTTTATCACTAAACACATACATCAAACCCAAGTGCTTGAGTATGTAAGTGGTCATGTTCATGATTATTGCAGAAAGATAGAAGCTTTTTATTTTGGTTAATCTTAGTAATATCTGATTTTATGCATATATGTATTTTATGTTTGCAAATAATTGTTTACTATTAATTTTAAGTGTTAAAAACCATTTACCACTGAAAGAATATTAAATTCAAGTATATTTGTAAATAATTTTCTAGGTCTAATTTAGGAAAGCAAATTCTTGCATTTATTCTTTTCCAGAAGGTATAGCTGAAGGAGTTTCTCCTGATGGTATTGTTTCATGTGTAAACAATGTTCTTAAGTCATATCCTCAAGACTCCACTTCATTACCATTGCTATACTTAGGAGCCACTGCAGGGATGAGGCTTTTGAAGTAAAGAATCCTTTTACTCTGAAACCAATAGCTGTCATTTAAAAAAAATTTGGTTAATCTTAGCAATATCTGAATATAATAATTAATATTATTCTGCTTTTTATGTAGATATTTTTCTGTATCGTAGTTTTGATAATTAATATAAATTCTGAGCTTGTTCTGCTTCACAGATATTTTTCTTTCATATAGAAGGAATGTTCTAGCTCACAATGTAATGCATAAATTACTAATTATGGAACAAGATAAGCAAAAAATAACTTAAAAAGTTATCTTTTTTGCAAAGAAGTATGTAAAAATAAGTAATAATTAAATTAATAACAAAATAAAATTAAATGTTGGTTAAGCCAGAGATTATAAGTATCACTGTTATGGATATTATGAGAACTAGGATGTGCTAAATGATATATACGATATTTTATTGCTGATATCTTAAGGATGTAGATGTTTTCATTTACATATTTAGTGTACTTAAAACGTAAAAATACATTTTGGTATTTAAAATATGTGTATTTTGGTAACTAAAATATGTGTAATAGCATTGAAAGTTTGGTATTTTTTAATTACCTGAAAACTAGTATATTCATCTTTTAATGTCTATGTGTCATTTAAGATTGAGATCTAAAATGGTTATCAGAAGTGGAATCACATAATAGTATATTGAATGAAATGAAACTGGGGGGAAAAAAGAATTTACAAGATGATGCTAAGAATTAAAAGGCAGTGAACTTGATAGGTGAAAAAAGCAAGATATGTCTCATTCATGTTTCAGAAATCACGCTCATACATTAAAGACATTGTCTAATGTTAAAAACAGAACAAGCAAATAATCTTAGAAGCTTATAGTTTTATTTTAAAATAAACAGTTCAAGATCATAGCATCTCCCTATGTTTGCGGTGAAAAGGTAGGAGGATTCACTTTTTTCTTTAAGAAAATATTTCCAGTGTATAAACTAATTAAAGCTCAGTTATATATTCATCATCCTTGAAAATGCAATCTGTACAAAGATGTGAAGAAACACAGAATACAAGTCTCCAATTTCAAATTTGAGACTTTTTTTAATTGCGATAGTTAAGTCCTATAAAGCCACTAGGATCAGGAAACACTGAATCTGGAGTAAGGTAAATCAGTGGTGCTGCAGATGATAATGGTGGTACCATCAAAGAAAGCTGGCAATTGGTTGAAGTGGTCATTAGTGGAATTTTATTCGACTTGATGAAGACTGGTTTGATACAATGCAGCCCATTGGTTGAGCAAAGTGGAGTGTTTTCCCATATGGTTTGGTATATGTAGTTAAAGTAGATCAATGTATGACAATTTAAGGAATTTTCAATTCCTTCTAGGTGTACAAATGCATTAGAGCATGACGTTAAAGCTGGATGCATGAGATTAACTTGGGAAGTAACTTCCATTTGAGTATAAATAAAAAATTGCATATTGATAAACTGTATTTTATTTACATCTGGAAATGCAGCGATGTAGTCATCTTGTAAATTCAAGTATTTGTGGTAGCATTTTACTAACTTTTAGAAAAACTTCTGCATAAAACTTTGCCAGCTGGAATTTCAACCTACCTATCGTAGCATTTTGAAGTTTCTCAGTGTGAGAAACGTTCTGGCTTGCAAGCCAATTCTTCAAACCAGTCAACAAATGAAAATTGGCCATCCCATATGCCTCCCAAGTCTCTTAATCATGTAAGTATTCTGTTCAAAAACTCCTTCCCTTTCTGCACTGTACTGGAAAAGAACGTGTAAGCAAAACTCATTCGATTGGTTTTTATGGATCCCTGAGAATTTTTGGGACCCACTGAACATAAAACTTCTGGTAGCCTAATTTTTAAGTGACTGCTTTATACAAAACTCTCTGAAGAATGTCCAGAAATTTTTTAGAAAGTTCTGAGATTGTAAATTGGCTGTTCTCATGAATTTTTGTCATCAGTATTTTCAACACGATCATCACTCACTACAGAAAGCTTACTACTCCAAAGTTCATAATGAATGTTTGTTCTTCCTGCTTTGAAAAATACTGATTCACAGTTCCACTCATAATGTTATTGCGAGATCATCAATATCATACAATTCACGATAAATAGCTGCCATTGAAAGATTTTTTTCCGAAAGAAATAAAATTTCTTATCACTGTACATACCTCGCATTTGCAGGGATTTTTCAATGGTGCCTCATATTCTGTGGTGTTATTACCAGCAGATGCATGGTAGTATGATGTTTTTTTTAACATACGGTAGAACTCTAATTATCTAAATCAATTAGGACCGGACCCCATTCGGATAATAAAAAGTTCGGATAATTCGAATTTTTACAAAGAAAGGGTCTACGTGCACTTTAATTACTATATGGACTGTATATTGAAAATGGGAGGACAAAAAGAGTGTAATTAATTAAAATAAAAAGGCCACACTTACATACATGTTGAATAGCATAGTGTACAGTACTTACAAGTGCTAAAAGTCACTGCTTGCTTAATATCACAGTCAAAGTAAGCTGTTTGACTGTCTTCATCTGTTTTCGGGCAGCCGAATCGCGCATCCGCTTGACAGTGAGAAATTGCATGTAGTCACACTCGGGCTGACGCTTCATTCACTTCGGCGCAGTTTCAAGGCTGGCAAACGCTTCACTAGCTGATGGTCCCATGTCTGTTTCAACTTCAACATTAAGGTCATCTTCTTCCTTGACACTTTTAATAAGTTCATCATTGTTTACAATCTGAAACCCAGCAGGGCCAGATAAAGGGTGATTGGGCCCAATTCGGCCCCGCGTTACCATCAAAATGAGAAAAAAAAAATCGAAATTTAAAGCAAATTGCTTTTGACGATAATGGTTAAAATATGAATTATTCAAATAATTAAAAATATATTTATATGAAGTTCACATTGCTGGATGAGATTTATTAATGTATTTATTATTATATAATATATACTTTATAATATAGAAAACTGATACCCATAAAAGTTCATGTCAAATGTATTGAATTTAATCGGGATAGTCCTGTATTAGATTTTGCACTACGTACATGAACTACTTTACGTACGTAAACTACTATGCAGGTATATGCACGCGCAACTAGTTGCGCAACCGTACCAGCCAATGGTGGATGTATAGCTAGTATATCAATTGTTTCTTGCATTTTTAGTTTTATGTTCAATAAATGTTTTTGTATTTTGAATATTTTATTTAATAATTTATGTAGAAGTTTACCTGTTTGATGATCCATGACATTTGATATATATATATATATACTGAATTTGCATTTTATTTAGATATTTAATATATAGAGTGGGCCCGGAAAAAAAAAAAATCCGATCGGGTCCGCACCTATTCGATCTGGTACTGAAACCCAAGATCTGTCAAATCACATACCATCCGTTCTGCTGTATCCTCAGTGCTAACCTCCGAATTTTCAAAAGCGTTTTCTTAATTCCTCAAGTGACATGTCATTCTCTTCTTCTTGAACTTCCTTTTTTCTCCTTTTCCTCCTCTTCAGTTGATTATAAAAAATTCTGAAGGTGATTTGGATGATCAGTGATTTGTATAGTTGGAGTTCGGATAATTGGAGCTGTACTATACTTAGAATTTTGTCATAGTGCAAACATTTCTTTCACAATGGTTTTTGCACTGCCAACATTGTTGGAAAGCATTGACGCAAATTCTTTGATAGTGACGCATTTATATTCTTGAATAATTGCATTCACATGATCAATGTTCATAGGGTAACACACTGTTATCCCTCAGTGAAACACTAAACCACACAAGTGCATTCTTAGAGAGACACTTCTCCACGCTGGACTTGGAGTCTGTGCCAAATTTTGGATGACGATGGCTTTTCAAATGAGAAATTTGATCACGGTACATTGTTCATGCTCCAAAGCAGCTGTTCCTTCATCACTCTCGTGACTGCCAAACTCAACAAAGCATGTTCTAATCTGCAGTGGAGGGGCTAGTGGCTATACTCACTCAAGGACACATAGTGCTGTATATGAGCAGTGGTTTGTAACAGCAGCAGTCCCAGTCATACACTCATTCGGGGGGAAAGAATCACCAAGAATTACTTTTGCGATTATGATGAAATTCAGTATGCAAACACATCTTGGTCAGACATGCAAATGATCAAAGTTTCAAGGCAAATGAACAGGAATTGCGATCATAGTGCACAATTTGCAAAGCGCAAAACCAGTAACAGAGGCGGAAAATTTTTCTTTCTTGTTGCTACCAATGTAATTCCGTAAAGAAGCAACTAAAGATGCCATTACAATGATATCCAAGACCTTACAGACTGCTAAACGACTTCAAACGTTATCCCATTGTAAGGTTGCGTGAAGCTGGGTGGTCATAGCGAGCAATAGGCCGCCACCTGCAGCGTACAGACACTGCTGTCCAAAGATGTTGGCAGCAATACTTGCTACAAGGAAATTGTCGACGAAATGAAGGCTATGGAAGGCCAAGGAGCACAAATGTGAGGCAAGATAGGATGATTGTTCACCAGGCCTGAACCGCCCCAATGGTTTGATTGTTGACTATTCAATGCACTACAGCCACATCTATACCTCCCGTGGTACCATCCACCATCTTGCAGCGTTTGTCTGAAGTGGGTTTACACTCACATACATTTGCCTTTGACCCCGCAACATCGGTGAAGTCATCTGGAGTGGTGTCGCAGCCGATCATCATGACTGCCATCAGACTGGCACCGTATAGTGTTCAGCGATGAATCTCGCTTCACTTTTGAAGCAGATGATCACTGTGTCCATGGGTGGAGAGGACGGGCCACTGGTCCTAATCAGCCTTTGTTTTACAAAGGCATACAGCCAATAACCCCTGGTGTGATGGTTTTGGGCTGTATTTCTTATGACAGCAGGTCATCTTTATTAATTCAGAAGTCAAACAACAAAAATCAGCATTATATTTTCAAATTTTCACAGGACTAGTTTTGATGGTTTTGCTAAACCACCGTCCTCAGCTACAAATGCACAAATGAGCGAGATAGG